AAATCATTATTTATGCACTCCACCTAATTGTCTATACACTTAGTGAAAAAAAGTGCGTAAATAAAAAAATTTTGTGGGTTATAGTTCACAAATTTTGGGCAAAAATTGTTGTCTATCGCTCACGAACTCGTCAAATTCAAAAGTTGGGCAAAAACCATCAAAAGTTAGGGGAAAATCCTTTCCTATCGCTCACGAACTCTTGAAATACAAACAATGCTTAGTCGTCTGCCTTTGTGTCAGAAATCCTGGGTTATAGCTCACGAAATCACAAAATATGCACACCGCATAATTGTCTGCTTTGGATAAAAAAGGAGCGTAAATGGACAAATTTCAAGGGTTATAACTCGTGAAATCATGAAATTAGGCTTCACCGATTCATTTGCCATCTGAAACCGTCAAAGTCGGGCAAAAATCCTTGCCTATATCTTAAAAACTCGTAAAATTTAAACAATGCTTAGTTTTTTGCCTTTAGGTCAGAAATCATGAGTTATAGCCTACTAAATCACTAAATATGCACTCCGCCTAATTGTCTGCTTTGGATTAAAAAGGGCGTAATGGACAAATTTCATGGGTTATAACTACAAAATCATGAAATTTGTCTTTGTTGAGTCATTTGCTATCAGAAGAAACCGTCAAAGCTGGGCAAAAATTATTGCCTATATCTCACGAACTCATGAAATTCGAACATTGCTTAGCCTTCTGCCTTTGTGTCAGAAATCATGAGTTATAGCCCACGAAATCACAAAATATGCACTCTACGTATTTGTCTGCACTGGGTGAAAAATAGGCGTAAATAGACAAATTTTTGGGTTTATATCTCATAAAATGGAGAAATTTGACTCCGCCGAGCCATTGGTCGTCGGACGAAACTATCGAATTTGGGCAAAAATCATTGCCTACATCTCACGAACTCGTGAAATTCAAATAATGCTTAGCCATCTGCCTTTGGGTCAGAAATAATTGGTTATAGCTCTCGAAATCACAAAATATACACTTCGCCTAATTGTCTGCATTGGGTCAAAAAGGGGCGTAAATGGCAAAATTTCGTAGGTTATAACTCACAAAATCATGAAATTTGACTTCGCCGAGTCATTTGCCATCAGGCGGATCCATCAAAGTCGGGCAAAAATAGTTGCTTATATTTTCTAGACCCGTGAAATTCGAACAATAATTAACCTTTTGCCTTTGGGTCAAAAATCATGAGTTGTAGCCCACGAAATCACAAAATATGCACTACGCCTAATTGTCTGGACTGGGTGAAAAATAGGCATAAATAAATAAAATTTGGGGTTTATGTCCTACAAAATAGGGAAATTTGACTCTGCCGAGCCATTTGCTGTCGGACGAAAGCATCGAAGTTGGGCAAAAATTATTGCTTATATATCACAAACTCGTGAAATTCGAACAATGCTTAGCCATCTGCCTTTGGGTCAGAAAACATTGGTTATAGCTCATGAAATTACGAAATATGCACACCGCCTGATTGTATTTACTGGGTGAAAAAGGGTATAAATAGACAAATTTTGGGTGTTATAGCTCATAAAATCATAAAATTTGACTCCGCCGAGCCATTTGCCGACTGACAAAACCTTCGAAGTTGGGGAAAAATCGTTGCCTATAGCTCACAAACTCGTGAAATTTGAACAATGCATAGCAATCTGACTTATGGTCAGAAATCATGGGTTATAGCCTTGGAAATAACGATTTATGCGCTCCACCTAATTGTCTGCACTTAGTGAAAAAAAGTGCGTAAATAGACAAATTTTAGGGGTTATAGTTCACGAAATTTGGGCAAAAATCGTTGTCTATCACTCACGAACTCGTGAAATTCAAAAGTTGGGCAAAAACCGTCAAAAGTTAGGGAAAAATTATTTCTTATCACTCACAAACTCTTGAAATTCAAACAATGCTTAGTCGTCTGCCTTTGTGTCAGAAATCATGGGTTATAGCTCACGAAATCACAAAATATGCACTCCGCATAATTGTCTGCTTTGGATCAAACATGGGCGTAAATGGACAAATTTCAAGGGTTATAACTCGTGAAATCACAAAATTAGACTTCACCGATTCATTTGCCATTTGACAAAACTGTCAAAGTCGGGAAAAAATCGTTGCCTATATCTTAAAAACTCGTAAAATTTAAACAATGCTTAGTTTTCTACCTTTAGGTTAGAAATCATGAGTTATAGCCCACTAAATAACTAAATATGCACTCCGTCTAATTCTCTATACTGGGTGAAAATTAGGCATAAATAAGGTTTATATCCCACAAAATCGTGAAATTTAACTCAGTCGGGCTATTTGCCTCGGACGAAACCGTTGAAGTTGGGCAAAAATCATTGCCGATATCTTACGAAATCATGAAATTCGAACGATGCTCAGCCATCTGTCTTTGGGTCAAAAGTCATTGGTTATAGCTCACGAAATCACAAAATATGCACTTCGCCTAATTATCTGCTTTGGATTAAAAAGGGCGTAATGGACAAATTTTGTGGGTTATAACAACGAAATCGTGAAATTTGTCTTCACCGAGTCATTTGCCATCAAAAGAAACCGTCAAAGCCCGGAAAAAATCGTTGCCTATATCTCACGAACTCGTGAAATTCTAACAATGCTTAGCCTTCTGCCTTTGGGTCAGAAATCATGAGTTATAGCCCATGAAATCACGAAATATGCGCTCTACCTAATTGTCTGCACTGGGTGAAAAATAGGCGTAAATAGACAAATTTTTGGGTTTATATCTCATAAAATGGAGAAATTTGACTCCTCCGAGCCATTGGTCGTCGGACAAAACCATCGAAGTTGTGCAAAAATTATTGTCTACATCTCACGAACTCGTGAAGTTTGAACAATTCTTGGCCATCAGCTTTTGGGTCAGAAATCATTGGTCATAGCTCTCGAAATCATGAAATATGCACTCCACCTAAATGTCCGCTTTGGGTAAAAATGGGGCGTAAATGGCCAAATTTCGTAGGTTATAACTCATGAAATCACGAAATTTGACTTCGTCGAGTTATTTGCCATTAGACAAAGCCGTCAAAGTCAGGTAAAAATTGTTGCCCATATCTCACGAACCCGTGAAATTCAAACAATGCATAGCCTTCTACCTTTGGGTCAGAAATCATGAGTTATATCCCATGAAATTATGAAATATGCGCTCCACCAATTTGTCTACACTGGGTGAAAAATAGGTGTAAATAGACAAATTTGGGGGTATATATCCCACAAAATCGCGAAATTTGACTGCACCGAGTCATTTGCTGTTGGACGAAATCGTCGAATTTGGGCAAAAATCGTTGCCTATATCCCATGAACTCGTGAAATTCGATAAATGCTTAGCCATCTGCCTTTGGGTCAGAAATAATTGGTTATAGCTCATGAAATTATGAAATATGCACTACGCGTAATTATCTGCTTTTGGGTCAAAAATGGGCGTAAATGGACCAATTTTGTGGGTTATAACTCACGAAATCGCAAAATTTGACTTCACGGAGTCATTTGCCATCAAACGAAACCGCCAAACTCGGGCAAAAATCGTTGTCTACATCTCGCGAACACATGAAATGCGAACAATGCTTAAGCTTCTGCCTTTGGTTTAGAAATCATGAGTTATAGCCCACAAAATCACGAAATATGCACTATGCCTAATTGTCTGCACTAGGTGAAAAATAGGCATAAATAGACAAATTTTGGGGGTTATGTCCTACAAAATCATGAAATTTGACTTTGCCGAGCTATTTGCCATCGGACGAAACCGTCGAAGCTGGGAAAAAATCGTTGCCTATATATCACGAACTCGTGAAATTCGAACAATGCTTAGCCATCTGCCTTTGGGTTAGAAATCGTTGGTTATAGCCCATGAAATCATGAAATTAGCACTCCGCCTAATTGTATGCACTGAGTGAAAAGGGGTATAAATAGACAAAGTGTGGGGTTTATGTCCTTCAAAATCGCGAAATTTGACTCTGTCGAGCCATTTGTCATCGGACGAAACTGTCGAATTTAGGCAAAAATTATTGCCTACATCTTACGAACTCGTGAAATTCGAATAATGCTTAGCCATCTGTATTTGGGTCAGAAATCATTGGTTATAGCTCTCGAAATCACGAAATATGCACTCCTCCTAATTGTTTGCTTTTGGTCAAAAAGGGGCGTAAACGGAGAAATTTCGTAGGTTATAACTCACGAAATCGCAAAATTTGACTTCTCCGAGTCATCTACCATCAGACAAAACCGTCAAAATCAGGCAAAATCGTTGCCTATATCTTCCGGACCCTTGAAATTCGAACAATGCTTAACCTTATGCCTTTGGGTCAGAAATCATGGCAGAAGGCTAAGTATTGTTCGAATTTCACGGATACGTGAGATATAGCATCGATTTTTGCCAGACTTTGACGTTTTTTTCTGATGGCAAATGACTCAGCGAAGTCAAATTTCGTAATTTTGTGAGTTATAACCTACGAAAATTTTCAATTTACGCCCATTTTTGACCAAAAGTAGACAATTAGGCGGAGTGCATATTTCGCGATTTCGAGAGCTCTAACCAATGATTTCTGACCCAAAGGCAGATGACTAAGCATTGTTCGAATTTCAAGAGTTCGCGAGATGTAGGCAATGATTTTTGCCCAACTTCGATAGTTTCGTCCGACGACAAATAGCTCGACAGAGACAAATTTCGCGATTTTGAAGGACATAAACCCCAAAATTTATCTATTTATGCATATTTTTCACCCGGTGCAGACAATTAGGCGGGGTACATATTTTGTGATTTCGTGGGCTATAAGAATCACATAAAAAAAGAGAAAGGTGAAAGATGTAAGACAATAACATGGAGAATCAGAAAGTGAACCGTTCAGGTCTTTCTGTCTCCCCCAGGTATGGGTTTTGCCCACTTAACATCAAGCATGGCATCCTTACTGATTGCCAATCCACAGATTTAATAAATGATGAAAGTTTATTAGCATCTAGAATCTGAATCTAAAGCGGGTCATCAAAAAGAAATGGGCTGGGTTTGGTTGCTGATTATCTGCAAGTTGCATACTCTCCTCTAATGACTGTGAACATGATTGCTTGGATTAGTCATCCATGTTCCACAATGTTATTTGCAGGATGAATCTGCTTGCTTGCCGTCTCTTAAGTATTGTCTCCTTCAATCCACTTTGGTTAAGCGACAACGTGCTCTAAGTAGGCCTAGGCAGTCGGCAGTTAGATCCTACAGGTGGGATATCAGGTGGTTTCATGTACAATTTTGCTAGAAGAAGTTACATCCCCACAAATTTTGTCTTTTTTGAATTGTTGATAAGTATAGACTGATTTTGAATTGTTGCATTCTGACAAGAACCACAAAAGTTGGAGATCTTAATTGTGTATCTTGGACTTCTGGATTTTACGAATCTCTATTTTCCATGAGCAATTTGAAGTTAGTTGTGGATTATTGACACTAGTTTTGTTCTGATTGCTTCATTTTTTACTTGCCATACATTGGCAAATGTTTCCGGTGCAATTATCCTTTGAATGATTTGATAGCAAATTGCTTTATCAAGGGAAAAAGGAAAAGCTAACTACTGCTTTGACTGCAACGCCAGGTTTCATTAATCTATTCATTCATCTTTGTGAATGAGGAAAACCTTCACATTTCTATTTTTGTATTAGGATAATGTTTATGTACTTATTTCTCGTTTATAATTAATGTAGAAATTTTGGGAAGCCGGCGGTAACTGCAACTTGGCCATTGCTGCAGCTAGGCTGGGGCTTCATGTCTTCGCTGTTGGTCATGTAGGAAATGAAATCTATGGAAGTTTTCTACTTGATGTTCTTCAAAATGAAGGCATTAGTATGGTTGGAATGAATGAGAACAAAGATCCTGTAGTTGCTAATAATATATCATATGAAACACTTCTCTGTTGGGTTTTAGTTGACCCATTTCAAAAGCATGGATTTTGCAGGTAAAGATTAGTTTGCATGCATTCATCTTTTTGTTTCTTTCCTTTTCTTTTAAAGATTTTGCAACCTTTCTCATCCAGTGAATTGCATACAATTACCTACGTACGCTGGTTAGTACTTTCTTATATGTGCTTATTTCCTCTGTCAGCCGTGCCGATTTCAGCAATGAGCCTGCATTCAGTTGGATGACTAGATTATCAGGAACAGTTAAAGTAGCTATTCAGCAGTCAAAGATCCTTTTTTGCAATGGTTATGCATTTGATGAACTTTTCCCTGAGTTGATCACCTCAGCACTTCATTGTGCTATCGATGCTGGAACAGCAGTGTTTTTCGATCCTGGTCCACGTGGAAGAACTCTTGTTAATGGGACACCTGAAGAGAAAAAATCACTGGAACAGTTTCTGAAGCTCAGTGATGTCCTCCTCTTGACTTTGGATGAGGTTCACTCTTTAACTAGCCACTATTGAATATTTTCCATATCATCTAGAGGTGTCTTTTTACTCTTTTCATACATCGTGCTTTCTTTTTTAAAAGCGCGGGCTTTATCATACCAATATTTAATTTTTTATGAAAATAGCCATCCTAGTATTGTTCCAAACTTCCAGTCATGTGTTTGTTTATAGTTTGTGAAGATATGTGAGCTGCCTCTAGCGTCCTGAACTGGTAGAAATTAAAGGACATTAACTTTATTTCAGTAATGAAAAATGCGAAATATGCAGTCCGCCTAATTGTTTCCATCGGGCCGTAAAGGGGTATAAATGGACAAATATTGTGGGTTATAGCTCACAAAATCGTGATATTTTACTCCGTCGAGTCATTTGTCGTCGGACAAAACCGTCAAAGTTGGGGAAAATCATTGCCTATAGCTAACGAACTTGTGAAATTCGAACAATTGGTCATATCCCATGAAATCATGCTTGAGTTGAAACAAACTGTAAGGGTCGGAAAACCATGGGTTATAACCCACAAAATCGTGATATTTGAACTCCGCCTAATTATTTTTTGCCAGCCCAAAATGTACGAGATGGGTCAATAATCACGTGTTATAGCTCGTGAAATCATCGATTTTGAATTCTGTAAAGCTGTTTTTACACGGGACGTCAAACAAACCAAAATGGTTAGAAATCGTATGGACGATATCTCATAAAATCATCGGTTTTGACATTTCAGACACCCGGATGACACAGAAGAAAGTGGTCAAAATTCATGGGTTACAACTCATGAAATCGTCGGTATTGAATTCGGTAAAGATTTCTGGCGTCGAGTCAAAACGCACCGAAACTGACGAAATGTGTCAGAAACCATGGGTTATAGCTCTCAAATCGCGAAATATGCACTCCTTCTAATTGTTTGTGCCAGGTCGAAAAGGGGTGGAAATGGACAAATTTGTTGGGCGAAATATGCACTCCTTCTAATTGTTTGTGCCAGGTCGAAAAGGGGTGGAAATGGACAAATTTGTTGGGTTATAGCTCACGAAATCATGAAACTCCGCCGAGCCATTTGTCATCGGACAAAACCATCAAAGTTGGGGAAAATCGCTGCCTATAGCTCACGAACTCGTGAAATTTGAACAATAGGTTATATCCCATGAAATTACACAAGGGTTGAAACGGACAGATGCTGTCGAAAAACCAAGGGTTATAACCCATGAAATCGTGATATTTGAACTCCACCTAATTATTTGTTGTTAGGCCCAAACGCACGAGATGGGTCAATAATCACATGTTATAGCTTATGAAATCATCGGTTTTGAATTCGGCAAAGATATTTTTACATGGGGCGTCGAACAGACTAATATGGTCAGAAATCATACGGACAATACCTTAAGAAATCGTTAATTTCAACATTTCTGACACCCAGCCAAAACAAAAAAAATGGCCAAAATTCAATAGTTACAGCTCATGAAATCATTAGTTTTGAATTCAGCAAAGATTTCTGGCGTCGGGTTGAAACAAATCAAAACTATCAAAATGTGTCAGAAACTATAGGTTAGCTCACGAAATCTCAAAATATGCACTCCAGCTAATTGTTATCATTGGGCCGAAAAGAGGTGTAAATAGACAAATTTTGTGGGTTATAGCTCACGAAATTGTGAAATTTTACTCCGCTGAGTCATTTGCTATCGGATGAAACTATCAAAGTTGGGGAAATCATTGCCTGTAGCTCAGGAACTCGTGAAATTTAAACAATGGGTTATAACCCATGAAATTGCTCCCTGGTCGAAACTGACAGAAGTGATCAGAAAAACCATGGGTTATAATCCACGAAATCGTGATATTTGAACTCTGCCTAGTTATTTGCTGTAGGGACCAAATGCATGAGATGGGTCAATAATCACGTGTTATAGCTCGTGAAATCATCGGTTTTGAATTTGGCAATGATATTTTGACAAGGAGTGTCAAACAGACCAAAATGATCAGAAATTGTACGGAAAACAGCTCATGAAAGCGTCGGTTTTGATATTTCTAACACCCGGCCGAAACAAAAGAAAATGGTCAAAATTTATGGGTTACAGCTCATGAAATCATCGGTGTTGAATTCGACAAAGATTCCTGGCCCCTGTTTTCGTCAAAAGTTGCTTTTGTTATGGAATTTATTATATCTTCGGTCGATTACAACAAATTCGAAAGAGATAGTCTTTTTTATAAGACTCCTTTTACACAACAAAATGAAAATTATAACTCTTGAGAAAATAACACAAACATCGTTTATCAATTCTTGTTTTTGTGGGACTTTGCCTGTGCCGGGAGTGCTTTGACTCGTGGACCGCCGAATCACAGATCGTGAAGGGGGCTTAATGATTCTTCCTTCGTTTATCGAAGTGAGAATTTGAAACGAATATCTTATCAAAGTAAGATGATCGTTCTTCTTAAGATCAAGTCAAAAGCTCGAATCTCAAGGAATTGCCAAGGACTCAAGTCTGCTCTCTCTCTGCTCTGGATTGCTCTATCAAGTGCTCGATCGGATGCTCTCTAATCAGCCCCCTTGGGTGCTCTCTAATCAGCCCCCTTTTGTAACCATTGTCCCACTACCTAAATACCATCCTTTTATGATGTTAGTGGGTCTCCTTTCAGTTTGTAACCATCTCCCCACGTTTATGGTTGATCTCAAGTAGTTATGAAGCCAAAAAAAACCGTCAAAAAACGTGTTGTAACCAACTCTATGGACGAGACAGTGAAGTCTGTCTCGCACTTCCGAGACAGTTTGTACTATCTTGGGTATTTTGGCTCTAACTCCCTCGTCTGATATCGGAATGAGATGATCCAAGATGCATTGGAAATCTGACGAAGAGATCTACAACTTTTGTCTTTTGACCTTCTTCAGATTTGGTGCGAGACAGTCATGACTGTCTCGCATTCCGAGACAGTGAAGTCTGTCTCGCACTTCTGAGATAGTTTGTGTTGTCTCGGGTATTTTAGCTCTAACTCCCTCGTCCGATCTCGGAATGAGATGATCCAAGATGCGTTGGAAATCTGATGAAGAGATCTACAACTTTTGTCTTTTGATCTTCTTCAGAATTGGCACGAGACAGTCATGACTGTCTCGCATTCCGAGATAGTGAAGTCTGTCTCGCACTTCCGAGACAGTTTGTGTTGTCTCGGGTATTTTGGCTCTAACTCCCTCGTCCGATCTCAGAATGAGATGATCTAAGATGTGTTGGAAAGATGATGAAGATATCTATAACTTTCCATAGGCAAAACACTCATAGAGTATATGAGACACACATGGTACTTCACCCTTTTGTGGATAAAGCACAACTCCTGGTTGAGTTGTTCCTTTATCGTTTAGCATGTTTCACAGACTCATATGCTTCGCCGACTTATTTCGTGTGCTTTTTAGCTTCTCTACAATATCAGATGATCTCCTTTGACTCAGATAATCCTCCTTGACTCGGATAGTAACATTCATCGTCTTTTTTTTTATCTCGAGTTATATGCGAGAACCTATAGGCAATTTTTTATGCCTACAGATACCCCCTCCAAAGTGTTTCAGCCTCATTCTTTTATAAAAAAGGCTGGAATACTTTGGATATGATACGTCTGGCCATTAATTCATTGACTTCTTCATCTTTTAGTCTACTCAGTGCTTTGTAGAATAGCTAAAATTCTTCCGGTGTTGCGTTTATCGCTTGACCGTTGTCAAAGTCTTGAACTGAAATTGATGTTTTGATTTGTGAATTAGCTCTTGTCGTTGAACTGATATTGAACTGATTTTCTTCATTAAGAATTCATATTTGGATCGCAATTGAATCTCCTGAGATCATCCATTGGACTTTTTTCCATAGCCTTATTTTGGCAAAAATCATTGACGCGTTGGCAGGCGTTAACACAGTTTATCCTCGTGCGTTTACTAGAGTCTACACAGTTTAAACTCTTAAAACGTTGGAGCATAGCGGTCTTGAGTGTTGAGGCTGCAGGACCAATTGTTCAGGTCGGTTCATCTGCAGATATGAATTTTATCCTAAGTTTGTCAGATACTCAAGTCACGAGACCAACTAATAAAGCTGGTGCGTCAGTGATTATCGCATTTATAGGATTTTTGGCAAACCCTCAGCCATCAACAGGTTTGAGAAGTGTTTACCGATTACCGTTTGAATCGGGCTAGCATGTAGATTGTTTAAGTCCGTTCTGCATGTAACGTTATGCTAAGAGAATAAACTCTCTTAGACTTGGTGCTATGTTATGCTAAGAGAATAAACTCTCTTAGACTTGGTGCTATGATGTTGAATACATAGACTTGTTCATTTTCACGGGAACGGACCAATAAACTCTCTTAGACTTGGTGCTATGATGTTGAATACATAGACTTGTTCATTTTCACGGGAACGGACTACCCGACAACTCGTATTAGGCGTAGGCTTATCTCTAATAAGGGATCGAGATAGAGTCCCCTATGCATCAAACATGGATTTGGAAATGTTGATGGGTTACGTCTTTTTGGTGGAAAGATGAACCTGACACTGGAGAGGAAGAATTTTATATTCTATCTCCTAGTCTCCTTTTTGTTGGTAGAGATGAACCCGATGATAGAGAGGAAGAATTTTATATTCTATCTCCTGGTCTCTTTTTTGTTGGTAGAGATGAACCCGATGATGGAGAGGAAGAATTTTATATTCTATCTCCGTGGTCTCTTTTTTGTTGGTAGAGATAAACCCGAAATCGGAGAGGAAGAATTTTATATTCTATCTCCTAGTCTCCTTTTTGTTGGTAGAGATGAACCCGATGATAGAGAGGAAGAATTTTATATTCTATCTCCGTGGTCTCTTTTTTGTTGGTAGAGATAAACCCGATGATGGAGAGGAAGAATTTTATATTCTATCTCCGTGGTCTCTTTTTTGTTGGTAGAGATAAAGGGAGTTTCGAGGTGATCCTAACTGTAGGAAGGTTTGATCACTCGATTTATGGACCTCTCGTTCATTGAAGGAATCGAGAGGGGATTT